GCCAAAGTTGGACACTCAACCGACTGAGCCACCCAGGAGCCCCTAAAAATAAATTATTTTAGATACCACATAATACATGAATACATGCTTATGGTGAAAGATTGAAACCAAGGAGAGTATAAAAATTAAAGCATTCTCTTGCTTTTTCCCTCCTTTCTCTCACCAGAAATAATCTGGCTTAACAGATATGTATTTTTCCAGTCTTCTTAAAAAAATATATTTACCTGCATATACTGAAATACACATTTTTCCCTAACAGTATTAAAATAATAATTTTTAAAAGCTAAATTTATTGGGTACTATCATTCCTTTTAAAAAATTTTACTTTTCTATTGATAGTTTTTATCATGAAATACTAAAAATTTATTATTTAGTGCACATATTCTACCTCTTTTCTTATGTTTCATTCAAAGTACAGTGGCGCCTTCTGCCAAAATAGAGTATGTAACATAAACATAGTTCCACCATAAACATAAGTTCCTAACGTTGACTTTCTGAAGAAATAATCTCCTTGGCTTTGTTCATAATTGCTCCAATCTTTGGGGTGATCTTGGCCCCATTAAAATTTCTAGTGTCAGAATTTTCTTTCTTCTAACGCTATAGGTGCTCTAGACAGCAATGGCATTTAAATTTAAAGAGGAAAGCTTTTATCTTCTGATAAAAAACAGTGTTACGTAAAATAAGCATTCTACCTTAATGGTTAGGTTAATTATGCTATACCTACTTAATATTGTTACATTGTACTTATAAACAAATTTTGCTGATTATGAAATACTCTAATTCTCAAATTTGTTGGACTATATAATCCATAGTGAACATTTTGTAGAGCCTAGTATTCAGTATAGTTTTTTTTTTTTTAGTAAATGTTTTGTTTTAAATATAAGGAAGTTTTTTATAAAATATGAAATGATGTTAGATAAAGCCATTTAGTTGTACTGGAATGCAATAGGTAAACTATATAAAAATATTAATAATGTTTAAAATATGTTGTTTGTAGGTATAATGAACTAACATCTGAAACAAGGAAGAGATTTAGCTAATATCTAACATATATAGTAAGATCTCAAAAACATTTTATTAGTACTTACTATTCATATCAGAAGTGAAACATGATATAAACTAATACATAGTACATTAATAAAGTTTAATGTTTTAGAAACAATTACACCTGAATAATTGACTTTTAGTAGCCTTCCTATTCAAATTCTGGTTCCACAACTTGCAAAATTTCTTTATCTGCAAAACGTGGATAATATCTACTTTGTTAGAGTAATTGTTAATCTTAAGTAATACATATGATGGGCCCAGAACAATGTTTGGTGGAAGGCAATTATGTTAGCTATTGCTATCATCGTCTAACTTTTTGAAGTAGGCTTAGCTGGTGTTCTGTTTGTGCCTTACTGTATTGGCTTTTAGCTTTCTTTTTTTTTTTTTTTTTAGAAGAACAAGAAAGTCATTTTGCATTTTCACTGGTATAAATGTGGTTTTTTTAATGTTTTATTTATTTTTGAGAGAGAGATAGAATATTACTCAGTCATCAAAAAGAAAGAAATTGTGTCGTTTGCAACAATGTGTATGGAACTAGAGTGTATTCCACCAAGCGAAATAAGTCAGAGAAGGATAAATATCATATGATTTCACTCATATGTGGAATTTAAGAAACAATAGATGAACATAGGGGAGGGGAAGAAAAAATAAGAGAAAAACAGAAAGGGAGGCAAACCATAAGAGAGAACAAACTGAGGGTTGCTGAAGGGGTGTTTGGTGGAGGGATGGGCTAAATGGGTGATGGGCATTAGGAGGGCACTTGTTGAGATGAGCTCTGGGTGTTATATGTAAGTGATGAATCACTAAATCACTACTCCTGAAAGGATTACCACACTCTATGTTAACTAGCCTGGATTTAAATAAAATTTTAAAAAATAGTAATAAAAAAAAGATAAAATATTTAGAAGTAATAATAATTAAATGACTGCTCATTGTTTATAAGATTGAATACCTATTTATGAATTATAGGGAAAATTTATGAAGACTAACAGAATTTTTTTTTTATGTCTTTCTTTTTAGTTGGTAGATAAACTTAATACCAATACTGAAATGGAAGAAGTAGTGAATGATTACAACATGGTAAGAAAATTTATGAGTATAACCAATAGATCTACATAGAACATATCATCGAAATAAAAGCATTTATATCTAGAAATAGTTTGATAAAAACTTATGCACTTTACAGATAGGTATTACTTTGATCTTAAATACCTCTGCTATAGATGAGTTCCCTTAGTTGCTTTTTTTTTTCCGTTAAAGAATTTAAAGTAATTTTTACCCCCAGTGTGGGGCTCAAACTCACAACCCCAAGGGTAAGAGTTGCTTGCTTTACCAACTGAACTAGCCAGTGGCCCCTTAGTTGCTCTTTTTAAATTTCTTCCTGTTGGTCATATCTCCCTAGTAGATGCTCTTAGTGTCTTTCTACAAGGCCAGGTTTGAACTGGTCTCACACACAGCGTTAGTTAGGGAGTTTCATCTACATTTCCTTGTATATAAATTAGTTTGCAATATTTTGGTTTAATATTTGCACAAATGGAGCTGAGTACTCACTTGAAATACAGTGGCACCTTTACAAAGTTTTATAAGAAAGAGAGAAGAGTGAATAGTTCCGTGATGCCAGACATAATACTACTTTTTGATGGATAAATGATAATTTGTGTTCAATGTTCTTAGATTCTTTGGTAGAAAACAAAAGCTAACTTACTTTGATTACAAACATTTGGGAGAAACCAACATACATATAGCTTATAGTTTATATAACTTTTAATTTATTTATACAACTTTTATATAGTTTATAATATGGCTTACAACTTATATAATCAGACTGTTCTGTGAAAGCATAGAATTTATAAAATGACTTTTTTCTAAATTAGAGTTCTAAAAACATGATAATTTGGTGAAATGAGTCTTAACTTTAGAACATAGGAAAATTCCCATCTTAAAAAAAATACGTATTTTTTTAGGATTCCAACTCAAAAATATATATATATATTTTTTTAGGATATTAAATTTAAGTAATATTCTGCACCAATGTGGGACTCTCAAAACCCAAGATCAAGAATTATGCACTCTACCCATGAAGCCAGCTGGGTACTGCTAACAATATATTTTTAGTGCCAAATGTAAAATATGAAAACCTCTTTATGTGTTTTGTCAGTTGTTTGGGATAAGTCCAAATTCTAGGCTGAATATGCACAGGTAGAGTCAAGTAGGAGTACTCAGGGTAAAATTCTGAATAATTTAAGAATAAAACTTGCGTGGGCTCTTAATTCAGTATATTACTAATCAACTATTGAACACCCAAAAAATTTTAAGTCTGTTTACAAAAATTAAGTTGACACTGGATTATTTGATCACTAAAGAACAGTGAGTTATTTTGGTTTAAGACTTCAATGCCTGTGAAAAAGACTTCCTTTTTCAGGGATTATAGTTTGTTTAGTGAAATAAGTACTGTATTCTTTTAAAACTTTGCATGTGACATTAGGATTATGACAATCTCTCAAATTGTTCATGAGCAATAACTTTTATAGAAGTAGTTCAGTTTAATGGTAATATTTATCACCAACTTCTTTGTTAACTCTTTATTCAGCTTAAAGCTCAAAATGATCGAGAAACACAAAGTATGGATATCATATTTACTGAAAGACAAGCGTAAGTATAATCCATTTAGAAATCAAACATTTACAAATGAACTGTATTAGGTAATTTGGAGTCATTTATTTCCTTACAAATTTTCTTGTTTTTCTCTGTTCTTTTTTTTTTTAATTTTAAGAAGTTGAATATTTGCAAAACAAATTTTATCGTTTATACATCTGTTATTTTCATTTACCATAAAGAAATCACATCCTGTGTAAATAAAACTAATACATAGATTAGATAAATAAAATTTCTGTTTTAAGTACTTTAAAATCTAAGATGGATCAGAACATCTCCATCTCTACCATTTGTAATTTTATTTCTAAATTATTTTTAAAGTTCATTTATTTTGAAAGAGCACATGATCAGGGGAGGGGCAGAGAGAGAATCCCAAGCAGGCTCTGTAGTGTCAGCGCAGAGCTTGACTCAGGGCTTGATCTCTGGAACTGCTAGATCATGACCTGAGCCAAAATCAAGAGTCAGTTGTTCAACCAACTGAACACTCAGGTGAACCTTCTATTTGTAATTTTAACCTGAGCTTTTTAACTAGTTCGAATTATGAGATTTAAGTCCCAATCTAATAAAAGGGAAATTATTAGTGGGCTATTTATATTATTATTTTGTTACTCAATTATTAATTTATAATTAATAGTTACATTAATGCATATATATGGATCTTTATATATAACGTTTAAAAAACATGTGGCAGTGACAGCAGTGTCTACAAAGATGTAGATGTGATGGTTGTCTTGGTCTGTTTGGGATGGTATAACAAAATACTATAAACTGAGTATTTTATAAACAACTGGAATTTATTGCTCACAGTTCCGGAGGTTGGGAAGACCAAGCTCAAGGCACCAACATGGTCCCATTCTGGTTGACGCCCTCTTCATGGTTCATACTAGGCATCTTGCTGTAACCTCCCATGGTAGAAGGGGGTCTGTGGGATCTCTTTTATAAGGGCACTGATCCCTTTCATGAGGGCTCCAGCTTCATTACCTAATCAGTTCCCAAAGACTGCACCTACTAATAACTTTGGGGGTTAGGAATTCAACACAAATTGTGGAGCGACATAAATATTCAGATAATAACAGTAGTTAAAATTCATTATTCTTCATTGTTTTTTAGCCTTAATTAAATACTAAGACATTGTAAACATAAAATGATAAGCTGTCATTATAAATGTTTTTTTTTTTTAGTGTTTTTATTTATTTCTAGGAGAGAGAGAGAGAGACAGCGTGAGCAGGGGAGGGTCAGAGAGGGAGGGAGTCACAGACTGAAACAAGCACCAGGCTCGGAGCTGGCAGTCAGCACAGAGCCCAACGTGGGGCTCGAACCCACAACCTCGAGCTCATGACCTAAGTGAAAGTCAGACGCTTAACCAACTAAGCCACCCAGGCGCCCCAAATGTTTTTTTTTTAAATTTCTGAGAGACAGAGTGTGAGCAGGGGAGGGTCAGAGAGAGAGGGAGAATACAGAATCTGAAGCAGGCTCCAGACTCTAAGCTAGCTCTCAGCACAGAGCTTGATGTGGGGCTCGAATCATGAACTGTGAGATCATGACCTGAGCCGAAGTTGGACGACTGAGCCACCCAGGTGCCCCAGATAAGCTGTCATAGACACACCTCATACATATTTTGTCTCATAGCAAGGATAGTAATTAACCAAAATTGCTGAAATTCTGTAACACTAAATATACTGTCCTGTTAGTTATTCATATAGAGTAACTATTTGATAAAGAATAGAATGTTCACATAATGATAAAATATTTGGAAGATAAATATAATTTTTCTGTTGATAAGAATGAAATATCTGTTTTCCTCATCTATCATTTGATGCTGCTATAAAGTGCTGTCTTAGAAATTATAAATATTGGAAGTCTTTTCCCATTTGCAAAGAAAATTCCATATTCATGGTGACCAGGTTATTAGAAAATTTTCTTTTTTACTCTTATTTTTGTTCTGGTTTTAGACCATTTAACAAGTATTTATCACTTACCATACATAAAATATTCTCCTAGGTACCTAAAGAATAAATAATAAACTATAATCCGTGGAACACCTCATAGAGTTTAGAACATTTAGGTCCTCGTTTCATCATTTATCTGCAGTTGTATAATATTCAGGTCAGATTTGTAAATATATGTACATATTTCATAGATATCTCATCCAGAAAGATAACTCATAGATTATAAATTTTTGAATGTCACAGACTTTTATGTCTATTAGGTTCATTTAGTTGAGGAAAAAGTTCTTAAAATATGATAGTTTATCCTGAAATGTGAGCACTTTCAAACTTAATATTGGTAGTTTGTAATTGAGTCTGAATGAAATTGGTTCTCCTAACCTTTTTAAGCAGAAATTTAAATTAAGTGCAAAAGTTACCTTCATGAAATTTACTTTTATATGCAGCGAGATAGATTTATTTCATATATTAATCAGATGGTCAACATCTCAATAACAAAGGCTCTACCTTGACTATACATTCAAAGGAAACAAGTAATTCCATACCTTGAAAAGGCAAGTCTAAAAACTTTTTTTTCATTCTCTTCTCTTTTAGTACCACCATTTAGTGTGGTACAACTAAACCATCTGGTTTGTTATGTAACACCTATTCATAGTATGTTAGTTATACAGCCTTAATATATTACTACAACATTAAGATACTTGGCTTTAATTTAGTTTCACATGCTAATATTCGATTATAAGAGGCTTAAGAGATTAGATGTATAGTGTTTACTCATTCATAATTCTATTTCATTTTACTATGTTTTTTTTCAATATTAATATTTTCCTCTTAAATTAAGAAATGACACTTTGTTTTGTTTTCTTTTTTTAATGTTTATTTATTTGTGTGAGAGACAGAGTCAGAATATGAGTAGGGAAAGGGCAGAGAAAGAGGGAGACACAGAATCTGAAGCAGGCTCTAGGCTCCAAGCTGTCAGCATAGAGCCCGACATGGGGCTTGACTTACAGGCCATGAGATCATGACCTGACCTGAAGTCAGACCCTTAACGAACTGAGCCACCCAGGTGCCCCAGGAATGATATTTTGGTGAAACAATAGCTTATTTAGAAAAAGGTGCAATCCATAATTATCTCTTATAATTGAGATTTAAAACAATAAAGTATAAATGATATTATATAGTAGGAAATTTTACGTGTAAAACATTTGTGTCCTTTATTGAAAGCATGTTTCTATAAACACAGGCAAATATGCATTATAAATAAGTGAGTCAGTTCTTTTTGACAGGGCATATATATATCATCCTAAACAATTTTCATTTTCCTCAGTGGACAGTTGAGCTGAATTTACTATTGATGTAACAACTATTCTGCAGAATATAACATATATCTACATTATTTTTAGTTTCCTTTTTCTGAGAAACTATCAAGTACATAGGCATTTTGAGAAATGACACAAAAATACTGTATTATACTCTTATGTACCCATCTCCCAGCTCCATCAGCTCAGATCCATTTCTGCTCCATACAGATGTCTAGGCACTACTCCCTTCCCTGTATTATGATGAAGTTCTAAAGATACCATATTATTTCATCTATAAATGTATTTTATTTTAGTTTCAGAGATGTTCTTTTCTTTAAAATATATAGATAAATACACTTTATTTCCACCCATATGGAAGGTAAAAATGATGGATTTTTTTTTTTACAGCTTTTAATGCCACTGTTTGCATTAAGTTAAAATTATGATCACAGCCAGTTGAATTAGTAAATAATAAGAATTAGTAAATAATTAACTTGAAATCCTTCCTATAATAGTCTCAAGGCCATTGTAGTCCAAACTACATTTTTTGACCATTATTTTGCTATGAACTCTTTGTAGGCATACCTCAAAGAAAGGGTTTTGATGTCCAGTAAGTTTGGAAGATTCTTAATACTTGGTTCTCGAAGAGCAGAGAGCACTTTAGTGTAGTTTCAAGTAAGTCCTATGGTAAAGAATCTTGTTTCACTTTGTTTAAACTCAGTATTTCCTTTAGGAATTCTATAGTAATTTGGCCATGTACCTTTTTTCCCCTTATAAATATTTCTGGGCATTTTCCTAGAAATTAATATTCTGTAACAACAATTTGGGAACCATTGCTCTATCTACAGAATCCAAAACAGCTGTCCCTAGACCAATGGAAATGTCTCAATTCCAACACAAATTTATTTGAATGAACTTCTCCAAAGAAAGGGGGAAAATAATTTTTAAATAATAGGATTCATAGAAACTTGTGATACCCACTTGGGAAGTCACCATACTGTTCAGTTGTGATGATCTTGCATTATGGTGATGGTCTTTCTTTATAGCCAAAATCCGTAACTTTTTTTTTTTTTTTTTAAATCAATAGTAATTTGTTAGGTGGGGATTGTGCTTGGACACTGTGCCTGTGCTTCAAGTACGAAATCTTAAGGAAATTTATTGTGCTGATTCTGGAAACATTAAAATATTTTCCAATTCCATGAATTCATTCTATGAGCATAAAATCAATCTTTGTTGTATATTTAAGCTTCTTCACTTTGACTTGTGATATCCAAAACCTTTATTTTTCACTTATTCCAACCAATAAAATGTTAATATAATTTAATATGTATTGAATCAAATATCCAGGCTAATAAGAGAATCAGTTCATTTTAATTAATGAATAATTTACTTTAGGTCTTTTTCTTATTAGGATGTATGGTCTGCTGAATACTGCTGAGAATAGTAATGCTTCTGTTGTAACCATTAGCTACCAGATAATGTCAGTTAGTATATTTGGACATACTTGCTTAGTACCAATGAGAAAAACATGATTTTGTGATATTCATGTGTTGCAATTAATATAAAAGTCTACTAGCCACAGTTTGGTCTGTCACCTGCTTAATCTCTATCTATGTCTAAACTGTAAGTGAACCAGTAACATTTTTAAAGAATCAAACATTGAAAAGAATTAATTTTCTTCATGTAATTCATGAGTATCTATATATTTGTCTTCAATAAACCCATCGTCATCTAATACAAATGAATGTAGTTGTTCAAATATTTCTGTAGTTTCTTCAGAGTTTGTATGTGGGGCCTGTGAAAGAGAACTTGAATTTTCAGTAAAACAGTCATCATAGGTTTCTGCTTCATGCTCTTCCAGGCGATGATGATTGTAACTAAGCAGAAAATTATACCATATTGGGCATTTGATAGCAATAAAAATGAGGAATGAAGTCATCAGTACAGTGACTACCACACCGACAAGAAAAGCCCAGCTTTTTCCAAGAAGTTTATGTTCTTATTTGGAATACCGAGAAGGAGAAAGAGAAAGAGAAAGAGATTTTATTAAATTGACAAAAGTAAAATAATCACAATCATATGTCCTAATAACTCCATTGGTATTAGAAATAAACATACATGCTAATTTTCTTTAAGCAAAAGTTACTAATACTACAGTAAATAAATATATTTCATAGTGTGGTGACAAAATACCTTTTTTTTCAATAAAGGTCTTTTGCACATATTATCAGTTCACCTAAGAACATTATTGATTTATACCTGTTGCGAATTGTTACTTAACTAGTCAAAAGTAAGCCTCAGAGAAGTTAAATAAGTTGCATTATGGCTTTTTATGGTAATTGGCAGAACTTAATTTGGAAACCTAGTATTTTTTTAAATCTTTTGTTGAGTTGAGGAATTGTTATCTTACATTGTTTCTAGAAATTTAAAATTCAATTTATTTAGTAGACGCCTTCAGCAATATTAATATTCAAGACCAGTACATTACCTGAATTTTTTAAGTTGTTCAAAGAGCTATTAAATGTTGAATTGTTAATGGACTGAAAATGGTTATAAAGATCTTCATTTATAGGTGGAGAAATTTTTGAGTAGCATTCTGCATTGTAAGGTACTGTTGTGATACTGTAGCATTTCAGGATATCTGGGTATGCACAGGTGGTGATGTTCTCATTTTCTAGTAAATCTGAATAAGAATTGTTATTGAAAATAGGATTAATATTATTAATAATTTTTATGGCTAACATAACTATTTTTACCTAGAACTTTTTGGTATATTTACCTGTCACTATTAAAGGTTGTAAGAAACTCTTATATTGCCTAGCAACACAGTAAGGGAAAGATTCACATTCTTGTTTATTAAGTTATTTTATGAATATAATTCAAGTATAGTGTGTTTATTGTTTAGTTTGTGTTATTAAAGTAAAGATGTTATCATAGGCAGAGCATGGTTTGCAGTTAAGCAAATAGAGCACCTGTTTTTACCTACTCTCTGGCAGGATATCCTAAGAAAAGAAAATACCTAAAAAAAATTACTCTTCTATATCAAACTACAAACATGAAGTGATAGTATCATTTCACATAGATAGAACATTTAAATTTTTCTTTTTTTCCTGAAAGGCATAGGAAGAACTTCTATTCAGCAATTACTTTTCAGTATTTCTTCCTGCTTGCCTTAAACAGGAATAGTTTATTTTTCTTTAAAACCTGAGGTGAGAGACTTCCCAGGGTGAATCAACAAAAAATCAATCACATTTCGGTTTTGAGTAAATTATGATAGCTTACCTAGTGTCACATTTGAGGTGTTCAACCAGTTCTGCAAATTCAGTAGACTACAAGAGCAGTTCCATGGATTTCCATACAAAATTATTAATTCCAGATGAAACATTAGTGGTACATCAAAATAGCTTATCAAATTGCCATGCAGATTCAGAAGTATTAGGTGTTTTAGGGGTAAAAATATATCAGGATTCAGCTGAAGTATTTTGTTTTGACAGAGATGTAACTGTTTTAGTTTATTTAAGCCTTTGAACGCACCCTGTTGAATTATGTGGATGGAGTTTGTACACATATTTAAAATTTCTAGGTTGGAGAGGTTACCAAAGCTGTTATTATATAACATAATGATATTGTTCTCAATCAAATAGAGTTCAGTGAGTAAAAAATATGTCTGTAGAACCCTTGTGTCTGTAACATTCAGAGTAATTTGGTTATAACTCAGATCAAGTATAGTAACATTTTTATTGATATCCGCTGGAATCAAAGAATAATTCATTTCAGTGAAATTACATTTGACTTCCTAAAAAAGAAAAAAAATTGGAAACTCATTAGGAAAAATATTAACAGAACTTCCCAAATTTTCATACCCAGGTAATTAGATATTAGGAAGAAAATAGTTTTAGAAAATATTTCCTCTCTAATATTTTGATGTTACAGTGTGAAAAAGGTAAAGAAAATACTTTTCTTTTTTTATTGGGATGAAACATTGAAGATTAAGGATATTTTGATAAATGTAACTAAGCAAAGATATTCTAGTTTATCATATATATATTTCTGTTATTACAGAAAGAAAGCATATAGGTATAATTCCATTTATATATTTGGAAATACATGGCAAATAATAATTCTCTTATTTAGTATTTCATTGGTACAGATTTTTAAAAAAATGTTTTTAATGTTTATGTATTTTTGAGAGAGAGGGAGAGAGACAGTGTGAGCAGGGGAAGGGCAGAGAGAGAAGGAGACACAGAATCCCAAGCAGGCTGCTGGCTCTGGGGTGACAGCTCAGAGCCCAACATGGGGTTTGAACTCATGGAACCCAAGATCATGACCTGACCCAAAGTCGGATGCTTAACCAAGTGAGCTACCCAGGTGCCCCTCATTTGTGCAGATTTATAATGAAGAAATTATTTTAAAATTTGTTTTTAAAAATCAGAGCTACCAACACTAGGATTATTAAAGCATTAAATCATTCAGAAATATTACTCAATGTATAATTCTATAGAATTAACATCTCAAAGTTTGGTGTTTTAAAAGAAAATATTTATTGGTCTCCTGGGTGGCGTATCAGTTAAACGTCTCTTGACTTTGCCTCAGGTCATGATTTCACAGTTATGAGATCGAGCTCCTTCTCGGGCTCTGGACTGGGTGTGGAACCTGCTTAACATTCTATCTCTTCCCTTCTCTCTGTCCCTTCCCTGCTCACGCTCTCTCTCAAAAAAAAAAAAAAAATTAAAGTACATATTTTATTAATTATTTTAAGTAATCTCTGTACCCAGCATGGGGCTTGAACTCATGACCCCAAGATCAAGAATCCATGCCCTGCTGACTGACCCAGCCAGGTGCCTTCAGAAAATATTTTTAACAGAAATTAAACCATATATTGACTTTAAGAGCCAGGCAGCATGAAGAAGTGCTTTCCTTATGTGAATGTAGATCCAAAAAAATAGTACTTATTTTGACTGTTTTAGCAATTGAAGTATCCCCCTAAGAACAGTAATGCAACAACAGTAATATTCCTCATAAATATATAAATAAAAAATTTTTTCCCTACATTTTAAAGAGGAGTGTTTAGGGGGTACCTAGCTGGTTCAGTTGGTAAAACACGTGACTCTTAATCTTAGGGCCCTGAGTTTGAGCCCCCTATGGGAGTAGAGATTACTTAAAACGAAACAGTGATGTTTATGTCCTGAAACTAATCACAAATTTTATAGTGAAAACTTTTAAAGAATTGAGTTAAAAAAAAAAAATGGGGATGTCTCACTCTTTTGAGTGTCTGACTTTTGATTTCAGCTCAGGTCATGATCCCAGGATTGTGGGATCGAGTCCCATGTTGGGCTCCACACTGAGCATTGAGTCTGCTTAAGATACTCTCTCTCTCTTTTTGTCTCTCCTGTCTCTCTCTCTCTAACTCCCTCTCTCCCCCCGTTCTGCACCTCTCCCCCACTTGAGCATGCACTCTCTCTCTAAAATAAAATAATAAATAAAAAGCATGTGATGTGTTTTCAATTTATAAAAAAAAATTTAGACTGCTTTTGTCAAAGTAGAACTCAGTTCAGATGTCACAGATTTTGAGTATAGACAGCTAAACATTTAGTTGTGATAGCTTGGATTTTTTTTTCTTTTATTGTTTTGGATATTTTACTAAATGCGCACAAAGTATCAAAGTATACCTTTGAAAATATTGGTTGTAAAAACTTACTGTTCTAGAAGACTGGCTTTCACCTGTTAATAATAGCATGGAGAGTGGCCAAAACAAGATTGTGATGCATGTAGTTTTCATATCGCAAGCCTGATAGAAAAGAGAGTATTTTCATCTCATTAGGATACTAGAACTTTAGAGATTATTGAGGACATTTGGTTGCCTTTTTCTCCTTGTAAATAATTTTTTCTTAAAATATGTAAAATGTAAAACAAGTATGTGTCCCTGCACTCTTCTCTACACTCTAACCTTAACAACTTGGAAAATTTTTAGAATGTCTCATTAGTTCCCTTATTGATAAAAAATTAATACAATAGAAGTGGTTGTATATTTTAAAATTTTAATAATTGCATGAAAGAAAGTTGAGAAGACTATGTATGTATATGTACATGTTTGATACGTTATTTCTTGGTTTTTTAATTTTAAGCTTTGTCTATTGGTGTAATCCATTGACTTAAAACCATAGGAGATGAGAGCCTTCAGCTCTTTTTTAAATACTTCCTACCTTTATCCCTTCATTCTCCATAGTTACTTATAATTTTGGCTAGATGAGTATACAGGGTTTATATTATCATGAATGTTATAAACACTGTTAATGACTGAGTCATGTAACAGGATTACTTTTCTGTTCCTGTATACTTTTTTTCCTCTAAATTACTGTATTTTTCATGTGCTTAGTTTTCTTTTTTCTTTTTATGTGAATTGATACCTAAACTCTCCCCTAACAAATCTCTAAATAGTTTATGCTTATTAGATATTTAATGTTTCATCTGCTTAAAGAAGTCTTCTTTAGATCTTACTTAGAATGAAATTGCTGGACTATTTTCTTGGGGAATCCCTAAATGTTATTACCTTTAGGTTTTTTACTCTTGCACTGGTCGGCTTTCCCACAATGACTTTGAACTGTCTGAACAGTTAAGGCCAGGTAGCCAGCATTCTGAGAACTGAGTGGTGAAAAAGGTGGGTTTATCCTAGCAATTAGTATGTAAACTTCAACTTACTCTCCCTGGTTTTTGCCATAACACACCTGTGTTCACTTATGCTTAGTGCCCAGATTCCCTTTGTTGCAACCCCAGAGGGGAAAAAAGGCCTCAATCTTGTGCTTCAGTAGGAGATGAACTTTACTTGGCTAGGCAGAGGCAAGGAGGAAAAATTTTTAACTATGTTTTAGCCCTTTCTTCTCTATTTCCAGACTACCTGGTGCTGCCAATTTCTGGGCCATTTATGGGTCCTACAGTATAATTCAAGCAGCTTCTCACCTTGCCCCACTGCTGCTTGGAAAAATTTGCTTTCCTCGTTTCCACTTAAACATTAACTTTCGAATTTCTTGGTTTTGTTGCTGTTGCCCTCTCTTCCATTTCTTTGTCTATATGACTTTTTATTTTTATTTTAGTCAGATTTGGAGCAAGAGTCAAAGTTAACATGTACATCCAACATGCCATCTTTAGCTAGAAATTGCCATTTATTTGAGTAAACTCTTGTTGCTAAATAATTACTTTCCTTTTAGTCATTTTATTCATGACCTTGATGTTTCTTGTTTTTATCTGTTTTCTTGAAGTCAGCATTAGAAAACTATATTGCAAACAAATGATCCATTTAAGATGATATAAATATATCCTGTTATAATCCTTATTGACTTTCTGAAATGTAGTCTTTTAAACCTTCTTATATCATATGTTGCAATGAGATAACTTAATATTTTAAAGGATAAGTTTATTCCATTAGAGCAGGAAGTAGAAAACTATTCAGAATGAGCAAGCCTCATTTCAAGTTATAAAATCTGTTGTTGCCTCATTAGCAATGAATTTACTGTTATTTCAGTTCTGGTCTATTTTGGTTCACCTTCTTCATTACCTTCAGTATGCTGATTTGTTTATGCTTATAACTCTTTTACTTTCTCCTTTCCCATAGTTTCTTAGAAAAAAGCTATTGCTGTCCTAGGTTTTACAACTTGAATGTAGAATCAGAATCAGATTCTTTTAGAATCAGATTTAGAATCTGATTGTTTTAGAATCAGAAATGAGTTCAAGCTCTTACTTATTCCAGAACATTGTCTCCAAAAGTGGATCCCTAAGTCATACATAAAAGGTAGTTTGCCCATGTTTAACCATCTTTAGGGACATGTGTACAACCTTGTCAGTGGTTTGTGTCAGTATTTATAAGTGGTGTAGTGAAGTTCTTAGTGATGTCTCTGGTAGGGTGCAGATGTAGGTAAGGTAGTGGTAAGGGAGAAGTACTATTTTTTTTCCAGAAATAAGTAGGATAGGGATCATCAAAAGAAACAAATAGGCTACAAAGAAATTTAGCTGATCCTAAGAGATTATGTGGAAAAGAAGCAGCTGAAGTATGTAATGAAGATCAGGTACTACTGTAAAACAATTTGGAATTTATGATCTTTATCATCTATTTAATAGTAATAATTGTTTTCTCTAGTGCGCTAATGGTGATAAAATTATAAGGACTACAAAAGAAACTTTTTCCCATTTTTTGATAAATTTTAGAGTTAGAGAAGCAATGATATTTGGGTTTGAATTTAGTGATTAAAAAATAATAGAATAGCAGTTTCTTTTAATTTACAAAATAAAGTGCCTTTTGACCTAGCTTACAGCCTGCCATACAGAAAAAAGCATTACACAAAAGTAAATAATAGGTAATGAAAAAGAATAGTATTATTCTTGTGCATTTTCATGTATAAGTTTCTTGGGAGTTTTTGGTTATTTACTTCCTATGACTGTCATACCATGAAATAAAAAGATGCTGCAATTATGTTGATTTTGTTAAATAAAATGTAAATATAGGTTTGCCATTAAATATTTTAGTTATGCCTGAATTTGATGTATTTGAAGATATTAACAGTTCATAATTAACTTCACTTTTGTAGTAAACCACTTTATAGTGGTTTTTTTTTTTTGCAAATTTAAAAATTCTTATAATGGAAAATTTCAAGAGAAAACTTCTAAGAAGAATAGTTACCACCTCTTTTTCAGCAGTTATCAATTAGCGGCTAGCTTTTTTTTTATTTTCATCTTTTAAACTTGTTTTTAAGTTAATGTCATTTTCAGAATGTTCTGTGATTAACATATTTCAGAATGGAAAAATCATATAAATTTGATTAGCTAGATGTAACCTTCCCCTCCCCCCCAAAAAATAATTACTTTGTATTACATTATAACTTTATTTTGGAAAGTTTTCTGGCCATGTCCCACATGTATATTTTCTCCTCTTGCACCACTTATTGAAGAAGGCTTTTTATACAGACTTAACAAACCTAAATATGTTTTTTTTTTTAATTCGCCAGCAACCAACAAACATGTAAATATATAGGATCTTACCTTTACTTTTTCTTTTGTCCCTGAGACTCGTGTGCTAAGGAATCTACTTTTTCTTCTACACCATTAAAAGAAAACAGTATGTCATATGATTGCATTTCACTTATGTTTTAACCTTTGTACCTAGTGAACACGTGTTTAAAAGAAAAAAAGAAACTAGACTTCCTTAGCAAAAGATTGACTAATAATTTCTTAGTCATCTTTGACTTTTTTAGTGTAACAAGTAAAGTGCTTTGTTTAACCTTTGTGTTTCTTAGTTACCCTTGAAAAATTTAAATATTAGCAAATTTACTTTGCAAGTTAAAGTATATAATATTGAGAATGCATACTTTAAAAGATGTATTTTTAAAGTGACTTAAAGTTAGTCCTAAAGGTATTTTGTGTTTAGAAAGATTCAAGTTGAAAAGATACCACCAAGTTTTGTATTCCCATGAGTTTCAGCTTTGTTGTTACTCATTTTTATGACACTGTCATTGGTGGTTTTACTGCCAAGTTATAACAGGAGCAAAGTGCTCAGAGCATCAAAAGACACCTTCCTTGTGCTGCAGCTTCCCCCCCTTTGTAAATAGAATACTGTATAATACTAGTTCCCATATTACTACAGTAAGATCAGTTAGGCAAAAACATGGTTAAGATTCATTGTTGATAGGAATAATCATGGAGTTTAGAATAAGTTAGTTCCAAAAGATTAACTTCTCTGAGCCTAGTATCCTTAGTCTATGATACAAAGAGATTGAAATAGAGAATGACCTTTTCTACTTTAAAGTTCTATGATCCTATAAACCGATATCAATTCAGCAGCAAACACAGTTGTTGTACTATAGTAATTGAAGTTCAGAGTGAAGATATCACTCCCTGTTTATCAGTGAGACAAAAATAAATAAAAATTCCAGGTTGTTTGTTTGATTTTGTTCCTCTTTTTTTTTCTTCAAGTTTCATTTATTTAAGTAAGTAATCTCTGCACCCCTTGTGGAGCTTGAACTCCCAACTCTGAGATTAAGATTTGCATGCTCCTGCAACTGAGCCAACCAAGCACCCTTGATTTTGTTAATCTTTTATTGGATTATTGTGAGATATTATTTATAAGAAAATTTCTGAGTTTAGATTATTTTATTCTGGTAGTGGGGTATTAGTGTAAAAGGTGTAGAGGATAGGTGCATCTTATTGGGGTTAGAGAATATGAAAACTGTAGAAGTTGATACCTGCACGTGAAAGATTATATGGTAGACTCATTTTGAAACTCAAAATAGAAATTTAGATATTGAGACTAAACATTTACCTTCAAGTAGTCTTTTTATATGTAAATCTTTAAGTATTTACCTGATAACTAGCATCGTTTCTATTGTTTTTAGAATTTTTCTCTACTCTATTGATAATTGACCTTGCTTAGGTAATAAGTGACATATCACTGGTTTTTCGTGTGATTATATGATAAAGATGGTTATTGTTTATAATTAATTTAATGACTACTACTTTTATATGATTATACTTGTTCCTGTTATGTTTTTAGGGAAATAAATTTACTAGTTTGCAGTGCCAAAATATAGTTGACAACTTTGGGAGTACCAATTTTTTTTAAATTTCATTTTTAAGAAGGAGAGAGAGAGAGAGAGCGAAAAAAAACCACAAGTGGGAGAGGGACAGAGAGAATCCCAAGCAGACTCCATGCTGTCAGCACAGAGCCCAACGTGGGGCTCGATCCCACAAACCATGAAATCATGACTTAAGCCAAAGTCATGAGTGAGTTGGACGCTTAACGACTGAGCCCCCCAGATGCAGATGTCCCAGAACACCAATTTTAATTTAAGCTGCAGATAAACAAAATATTATTCTAAAGCAATGATTGTTTTTTAATCAAATTGCACTGTAGGTCTCTTTACTCTCAGATCAATCAGAGCAGTATTACTTTATATCGTTTACGTGGTGAACTACCATACAAGATTTCATCTGGTCAAAGATTTCTATAGATAAAGGTGTTTAAAAAACTATTATTCTAAAATTTAACTGTTTTATTTGTCTGGAGGATATGGCAAAGTGTAAACACATCCTCATGTACAAGGCTTTAAGGGTTTCCTGTGATAATCTTTGTGTTTTCTAGTAAGAAAGTAAAGTGAACACTCAGGAAATAGAAGGATTTGGGGAGTGAGAAGAAAAAGACATAAAATAAGTCTGTGTTGATGGGGCCAAGTTATATTTTTTGAAAGTATAAGGGATTTTCTTATTAATTTTTAATTGAAGTATAGTTGACACATAATGTTACTTAGTGATTCAACAGCTCTATATGTTATGCAATGCTCACCACAAGTTACCATCACCATACAGCACTATTTCAATGCCATTGGCTGTATTACCTATGCTGCATTTTTCATCTCTATGACTTAAACATTCCATAGCTAGAAACTTTGTATCTCCCACTCCCCTTCACCCGTTTTTGCCCATCCCCCTCCCTCGCCTCTCCAGCAACCACTAGTTTGTTCTCTAAATAGAATTTTTTGTACATCTATAAGGATTACAAACTATGTTGAATAATTTTACCTTATTAGTTGAGACCACATCCTGAGAAAAATTAATTGATGTTTTTCCCCTCAGTATAGTAAGGAATATTACATGCTTTTGATTTCAGGAAGGAAAAACAAATTAGAAGTGTAGAAGAAGAAGTTGAACAGGAAAAGCAAGCAGCAGATGGCATTATCAAAAACATGTCTCCTGAAAAACAAGTCAAGTACATAGAAATGAAAACCACAAATGAGAAATTGTTGCAGGTAATACTAGTCACTACTCTGTGCCAACCATACAGCAGTCTTGCTACTAAAAATATGGTCTAAAAATGGGCAGCATTGGCATCCAGAGAGCTACTGATCAGAATATTTTAATAAGGTCCCCAGATAATTTGTATGGACGTTTAAATTTGAGAAGCACTGATCTAGAAAACTTCATTTGCTTATGCTGCATGATGACCTAATCTGACTGTATTATTCATTTCTATGCATATTTCACTTTTACATGTAATAAAGATTCATGAAAACACTTGTTTTTTTAATGAAGTTAATGGAAATAATAAAAAACCTCATATACCAGAGCCATATGGATATTTACTTTCTTTCCTGCCTAATAAGCAGCACCTAATAAGGATCTTTTACCTTCTGTGTCCTTGATTTGAACAGCTCTTGCTTCCTAATCATGGTGTTTAAATAAGCAATTTGGGGGCCTTCCGAGGGCTTATTAAGAATTCTTCCCACATTGAGATATGGTGGTGACTCAGATTAGCAAGTTAGTGCTCTCATATGCCCATATATCACTTAACCAAATAGTTCACAAAGAATTAGTCCCCACAAAGGCCAATAATGAATATAGCTTATGAAATATCACTTCACTGACAATTTACATTTTTAAGTTTATTTATTTATTTGATGGGGAGGGGCAGAGAGAGAGAATCCCGAGCCAGCTCTGTGCTTAGCGCGGAGTGGGCTGCTATGCTTGATCCCCTAACTGGGAGATCCTGACCTGAGCCGATATCAAGAGTTAGATGCTCAACCGAGCCACCTATCCACCAGCTTCACTGACAATTTTATATAACTTTTTATTCAGGATTTATAACATAAAATGAAATACTGAAGAAAAGACTATTACAGAAATGCCAAATACCATCAAAATGTAATTATTCTTGCACAGCCGTTCTTGAATAACTTATCAGCTCAAAAGTATTGTCCCTAGGAATGAGCCATGTAAATTACTGTCTTGGCCCTAAAAGAAATTAGGCAAAATATATGAAAACATAGTTAAGAAATCAACATTAAAAATCTTAACTTTAAACAATGACATCATTAATGTGAAGGCTTCTGACATTTAATATTCTTTAAACACGATGATTTACTGTGAAAGGTCTACCACCTTTGACAAGCTCACAAGGTATTATAAAGGTAGATCATGGCATAATTTTTAGGAGTAATGAAAGAAATTAACAAAAATAGGAGCAATGTTAATAAATTCTAGTCAAATAGCAAGATATGAGTTGAATATGTTTACAAAACCACAACCATAATTGCCACGTATTTGCCACAACCATATTTGAAATGTTGACAAACAGAAACAGATTATTCTAAATATAACTTGCATATATATTTGCTTTTTTCCTTTTTCTTAGGAATTAGATACACTTCAGCAACAACTGGATTCACTGAACATGAAAAAAGAGAGCTTGGAAGCTGTACGTATAAAATCAAATAAAGGTTCTTGTATTATTCAGCTACAAAAAATAATTCAGCTAAATATATTAATGGAATTCATTCAAGTACATATTTATTTAGCAGTTACTAAGAGGAGTATAATTTTTTCCCCATTCATCACCACAAATATCTTAGTTTGTTAAGAAATTAGATTCAGTTATTGAGTACATACTGGGTACAAAAGGCATCATTCTGCCTCGCTGAGGCACATAAAATCTAATGGTAATTTAAAGTCATGTGAAGGAGAAACTGATAACAAGTGAAAAGGGAGAGAGATGAGTTCATCACTTTAAAGATGTAAATGCTTGCATTTGTTATTATTAATTTAAAAAGCATATGTGGTTTTTAATTTAAAAATTTTTATTCAAAAAATTATATTCAAAACAATTGAATAAGATAAAAGTGAAAATGCATGTTTTTCCCCTCTTTCTAGACAGAAGTATTTGTATTTTTGAGTGCTTACTTATTTTTGAGCTTTTTTTGAGCTCCTTACATAGATCACCAGCATTGTCATTTAATCTTTACAATAATCTCATAATCCTGTCTTGGTTTTATTATTGTGGAAAACCTCAGGTGGAATTCACATTCCATATGCAGCTTAGTTTGGTTTGTTTTCACTTAATATTCTCTCTTGAATTCTGTACACATCAGGTATTAGAGATCTTCATTATTGTAAATTATTTCATTGTGTTATATTTTATGACTATAATGCAGCCTTGTAAATGAATAGATTGTTTATATTTTTGTTTATAGTTTTTTGGTATTACAAACAGTCCTGCAGTGAAAACATGCATTTAATGCAAAGTTACATAAATATGTCTTAAGATCTATTTCTTGCAG